AACGGTTGCAGTTTGGTTTTAAGCATCAGTGCTGGTTTGGTTAAGTCAGTTATGTTTGTTAGCTGGTGTATTTTTGATAATAAAGCCTCCTCACATCAGTGTTGTAGCTCTGTGAAGCTTTATTAATGCTAACATGCTCACAATAGCAATGTTTACATGGAGCCAAATATTCTGATTATAATCGGTTTAAATCTCAGTGAGAACAAACAACCTCAAACTGATTCTGATTTATTTTATTTTATTAATTTAATCATCTGTTTATTATTAACCTCAGGCCTGTAACAAAAGCTCAATGATTAATATATATAATTAAATAATTATTATTAACATTAAAAATAATAACAATTTTGATGATTTCAGCTGAGAGACAAATGTAACCACTTCATACTACTGATGAGGCTCCAGCGTTGTTTAACTATCGTATATGGAGGTGATGTGGTTGCACAGGGGCCAACAGCAGTTCAGGGCCCCTAACAGACCACAAGTATCTGCACCGCTGCTATGAGCTGTATAATTTAACTATAATAATTTACATGTTGTTGTATGTTGCTACGTATGTATATTAGTCATTCCGTTAAGTCTCTTATTCCACACTGTCTCCATCTCACACTTGATGTCATTCACATTCACAACAACATGAAACACTTTATGTGTTGGCTCATAACTCTACAGTTTGTACATTTATGTTGTACAATAATCAATCTACATGCTTTTTGTCTATATCACTGATAATCTTTCATATGTGTGTCACTGTGAGCAGTCTAGTCAATCATTGTCTGAGTCTGACTGTTATGACTCATCTTTTATAGCACGTCTGTTTCCATATAATTACTTTCACTTCTGTAATTGCCACTGACATTACATTGTGTTATGTCTGATTGTGATGGGTTTGATCATCCTGCATTCTGGTTTGACTTTAACAGCAGCTCATTTGTAACACCCGATCATTAGGCTACAACCACTCGGGCATCATAGTTGAACTTTTTAATCTAGTTAGCAACTGAAAACTGAAATTAAAGCAACATTTAGCTCATTTAACTGCCCCTTGTCAACTCATTTCTACACTAACAAACCAACTGCACTTTAAAATAAAGCTTTGAGGCTTCATTATATTATTCTGAGTTGTGGAAAATGTGGAAATGTTTTACATGTAAGAAAACAAGCTTCTCTCTTCTAAAGTTTTCCAGTGCAGAGAACTCACCTGGTGCTGTTGAGCTCTTCAAGTAACTTCTCCATGGCCTTACCGCTCTTATCCACCACCTCCAGTATCAGCACCACACTGTACTGAGACATGATCTGTAACAAACACAACACTGTTTATATCCCAGCACACACTGTGCACATATGTTGTTATTACGATTGGTAAAAAAACTACGATCAACCTTGGTGAGGTAGCGGACGACAGTTTTGTCTGTGACCTTTTTCCATCCCAGGTTCTTGGCATTGAAGGCGGCAATCTTCATCGTGGCTTCAGATGTTTAACAGAGTTTTATTGGATGAATATCAGTGACATGTTGTTTGAACTGTGGAGCAAGAAAATGGAGAACGGATGCAGAAAAAAGAAGAAACTGTGGTTTAGATGAAGTGTGGGAAACTTTTACAGCCTGTACATTATAACCTAGATGAGACCTGTGGAAATGGCTTCAACATGAAGAGACTTTTTTAGTTTGTTAAAAGAATCTTGCAGAAAAGTAATAATTACCACAATAATAACCACATATAGGTGGCATGAGGCAAGTCAAAAACAATTAAAACATACATACAGCTAATGCAAAAAACAATAGTTAGACAGAGTTAAAACAGCACAATATATACAGTTTGTACACAGCAGAGACACATAAAAGTAATGTGTTTAAGAGAAGTAGGATTAAAAGCAGGTGCAGTGATCAGAAACTAACACAAGTATTGAGTTATTAAAGGAGGATAACAGAATAAATATTATAGTTTTAGTGGCGTTTACACCTGGTTCCAGTCAGCAAACTGCAAAGACTGACGGCCGAAGGAGGTGCAGACTTTAGGGGTTTACTGCTGGAGATTTTGGAGATACAGTATGAAGGTTTTGCCAATGACGGTTTTATAAATGAAGTGATACCAGTGGATCTGATGCCTGAGGCCAGTTGACTAGAGAGTACATGCTGCGGTGATGAAAGGGGCATTGGGGCAACTTCAGTCAGACGTTAAAAGATTTAATTTATATATTCAGTAGGAATAAACAAAAGTCCTGCCTTCGTAATTTTAAAGTAGGTGCAGATGTATTAGCAACAAAATTAAAGTAAATAAAAGCAGTCACTATATGCAGAAGGACTCATTTCAGATGTGTATATTATTAAATATATTACTTATTAATATGGAAGTACCTACAGCCGTCAAATAAATTCAGTAGAGGAAAAAAGTACAATATTTCTCTCTATAAGTATAAAGTAGAGTAAAGCGGAAAGTACCTTTAAAACTGTACTTAAGTACCGTACGTCTGTAGTTACTTTCCATTACTACACTATAAATTGTAGCCTTTGAAAATGTACTTTTTAAATTGTTTTAAAACCTTAGAATTTGACTGAATTGCACACACACTGTTGGCAAGAACTTCCACAAAATGCTTCATATATTCCACATTAAAATGCTCCTTCTGTCACTGACAATGTACATTTCAAAGCAACATTATGTTATAGAATTGAGTTGTGGACATTTGGTTCAATAATGCCACTCCACTGTAACACAAACAATTTTCTAGTTTCATTTTATAGTCTTTAAAATTAAACTGAAATTGTATTTATTTTCTAAAAGTATTCAGCTTTTTGTAAGAGTGTCAGTTCCTGTGCTCTACGGAAGTTTTAGTCTAGAAAAGTAGATTAAAGTAAGTAAAACAAACGTAGAGAGAATAACTCACCAGCCTGGTTGAAATACGCAAAACCCAAATTGCTACCGTATCAGCAAACAACGACTGATACTGAACTCTGCAGAGCAACTGTTTAACCTCTGAGAAACAGGAAGTTCACACCAAGTCAGTTCACACACACTCACACACACACACACACACACACACAGAGTCTACACACTGCAGATGCAAAGTATACACACCCAACAGTCTCTATCTGTGTTTAAGGCCGGTTAGTGTTTCCTGTCTGTCTGTGCTGCTGGTCCTTTACCACAAACACCATGGCGCTCTGACAGACGTTGTCTTTTTATTTAGTTTAGTTCATTGCTTTCTTTCCAAAAGTTAGATGAACCAACCTCATATCTGTGCAAGAAATATGGAGCTGTAGTAGCTTAGCTTAGCATAAACACTGGAATCAGTAGTTCTGTTTGCATCGGCATAGCTAGGTTGTGTTGTGACTAAGTCTTTGTTTTAGAGGATCCAGTTCCAGCTTTGTCAGCTTTGGGAGTTTGAGAGCGATTGATACTGGACTCTAAAACCCTTTACAGTAAGAGCACTATCATATCCAATGTGTCTGCAATGTGCTAACTGTTCATGGCCAGTTACATTTCTATGGACTAATACCTCTAGACGTAAAAGAGATGTTTGTTGTTGTGTTTTGAACATCAGACAAAGAGAAAAGAAAATTTTTTAAGGAAAAAGAAAGCACAAAAATACTCTTTCATGATTAGTTTATTTCAGATAACACGAAGCCTCAAGCGTTAAGTAATAAGTAATAAGTAATAAGTAAGCAGTCATATAAGGAACTGCCAATGCGTTTATTGTCTAATGTTGTGTCATGATGAGGTTATCTGCTGGGACATCCGTCTTCTTCTGATGTCCTGTTTGATTTACAAAAAGACACAAAACAGGAAATATAGTTCAGACAGAAGAAGAAACAAGAGAACATCTGATATCAGCATCCATCATTAAAGCTCTGATTCAGACTTTGGTGACCTCTAGTGTAAAAACAGACTGAGAATGAATGAATGAATGAATGAATGTATTTCTATACTGTAGTATTACTTATTTTACTTAAATAAAAGGTCTCAGTACTTCTTCCTGTTGTCCAATGTCTTGGAGACAAGGTTGCATATAAATGGCACCAATTCAGTGACCAAAAACTACACACAAAAACTTTAAACACCAAAAAATACTCAATTTACTTTGTACTGATGCTTTTATTTATCATATACACAAACATGGTGAAAGAATAATTACTGATATATACCTTTCTCTTCGTTGGTTGCCTTCGGAGCTCATTTTTTCCTCTTCCTTCTCAGCACCACCTCCACAGGGTAGTGGTCACTGATGGCTTCAGTCTGAAAGAAAAGTCATAAATATTTTGTTGTGAATTTGAAGGTTTTCCAACTGATCTCAGACAGTCTTATATATTCCTCAGACAGTCTTACATTGGCATCAGACAGACGGTATTCCTTCTGGAAGTTGAAAGCCCGAGCTGAGCCAGGAACCACAGCGTTGTACATCTTTTTTCCAAACACCACAATCCTGTTGGCAGAGAGACTCGACTCAGTCACAATCAGGGATTTAGCTTTTGAACTTACTCTAGTAATTCAATTCACCTAAACAACACTTATTCTGTATCTCTATAAATATGTAGCCATGCTGATATGGATCCAGATTTTAAGATAAAAAACCAAACTATAGAAACATTGACAAGATAATGGCATATATATCAATTCTTTAAATGTAATGTAACACCACAAAGTAAAATCCTTTCACCTATTTGTTTTTTTAAAAGTGGAGGCAGAAATTTTAGTAAAAGCAACTGTATTTCCTCAGTCATACTTATATTACCTGTCGTAGGTGTGGTCAGTAGAGTTACTTGTCGTGGTGTCGACTTCATCACCTATCAGCCAATGGTAGTCAGGAGAAGAAGATGCTGATGCTTTCGCTTCTTCTTCTTGAAGAGTAACGGTCCATGGAAGCGGCTCGCTGCATTAAAGTCGCCCAGAATCATTCATGCTTCTGCAGGAACAAATCAACCCTAATGTATCAAGCATAAACATCATTCAGCTCGCGATCTAGTAATGTTCCAGTCAGTAGCTTCTAAACTAAGAGAGAAGCTGGTGGCTCCAGGGTAACCATCCAATGGAATACAAATTGAATTTGCCATATATATACACCTTTAAAAGCCAAAAAATTAACGCTACCATTGCATGTCGGCAATCTACATACGGTAGATAATGGATACAAAAGTAAAAAAATACAAAAAAAATGATTTTGTGTAATATTTGCAGGGTCAGCGTATGACAACAGCCCAAACCAGATATTAATCCACACTGTTCCCTTTTTAGCTCTTTTAACTCATTGGTTTTGGTTTTAACGGCCCACCACCCAAACAGCGGGGGGGGGGGGGGGGGGGGGGGGGGGGGGGGGCGTTTTGGATCTAAGCAGCAGTCATTTTTCAGCAACCCCCAATGTAGCACTACCTGCACAGCAAGCAAACAGAAACCCAGATTATATTAGTGAGCTAGCTGGTGAACATGGTGGCAGTATTTGGCAGCCTAAACAGCCTTGATATTTCCGCTCCAGGAGACGCAAAATCAGAGGTAAAATACGAGTTGATATTAGACCTTCCAAAATGAATGTCATTTTTGGCTCCTGTGTTGTTTGTGTATACTATGTGGATCCGTTGTCACACCCTTAACC